TTAATCACACAACGTGAAAACTACTTTCATGCACGGGTGCCTCTGAGCGTTTTAGTGCTGTCTGCCTGTCTGTAAGAGTGGGAACCTTCCTAGAAGGAAAAGAGGAGCACAGGCCCCGGGGAGAGATCTCCTGGCTGTCTACGACTCTGCAGCCCACGCTAACCAGCTCCTGCTGGGAGAAGGGGGGAGGGCCGGAGGGACCAGGTGCTGGGGGTCTGGGATGACAGGAAGGAAGGCTTTAAAACTGGAGCCATGGCCTTACGGGTTCACCATGGTACCAGACGGGAGGGTCGCCTGCCAAGACGACAACTTCCCAGCACTCAGAGAACAGAGCCTTCGGTGCAGAAAAAGCCGGCTGCTATCACTGACAACAGAGAGTGGAAAACGGCTCCTGCCCCCTTTCTGATCTTCTCTAATGTAAAGCTACCAGCTATACTGTCCCATATTTTTGGCAGTTAGTGAAATACTGTCGTTCTCACTTGTCCACTAACTCTAGAAAGAACCTGAAGGAAGAGTCTTATGTCACATTACAAGGTCTCCTCTGGAGACCCTGTGGGCCAAATGCCCACATCCAGGCCCAGAGCAAGCACTCGCTGGACAGGGACCCAACACGAGACCGCAGGGATGCCGTCTCCGTGCTGCCCATCTCACGACCTGCAAGTGGTGGTGATGGTGATGTGTTTGTGTGGCGTTGTAAACATTCTGGAGATAGCTTCTTTGGGCAAATGCTTTTCAAATATACACTTGACTTTCACCTTGGGGATTTACCACAAGGAACCCTGCGAGCTGCTGTGTGTAAATTGAGCATTTGATGGCTGTTGATTTGAAAAAAGAATGAGTCAATTCTTGGTAGACAACTAAGAAACACCATCTTACTCCTTCCTTTGAGAACCACTTCCAAGTTCAACTGACATTAAGATTCTGTAGAACAGCTTGGCCCTGCAGAATCAGCAAGATGCGCTGCCAACCAGACACGTGAGAAGCCAAACCCGTGTTTCAGTGTGGAACGTGTCACTGTACATGGAAAAACTCACTATGAAACTGAAATGTTTACGTGCCAAAATCAAAAACAAAACCCAAAAACCCAAAACACGTTTTACTTAATTTTAAATAAAAATACCATTATGTGAAAAATTTCAGAAAATCCACACTTCTAGTTCTAGTACCAGTAAACAACAGTAAAATATAACCAGAAACCAAATTCTCCAAGTTTTCTGCTAAAGAAAGGAATGAGATGCCCAAACCTGAATCACCTCACTGAGCTGAGGGCAGACCACTGACCATCTGCTGTGTCCCATCCTTCCAACCTCAGATCGAGGGTCTGAGCCACAGGGCACCCACAGAAACACGACAGCTTCCGGCCTGGTGGCACGTGCACGCCAACACAGTGAGGCAGAGAAGGGCAGGGAGGAACGGGACGGCGGCTCTGCCTAACGAGCACCATGAATCATGCTGGTCTTGGTGACAGGCAGAAGGAAGCTTTGCGAGAGGTAAATGATGGAGTCTGAGCAAACTGAGGATGCTCCCTCCTTCTGACCTCAAATTCTAAAATCACCCAAGTCAAACCCACAAACACGAGGTGAAACAGTGCCACGTGGGGATGACAAGAAGCCAGCAAGGAGAGGCCCTTACAACGCTCGCCACGAGCGCTCGGCCCGGCACCTGGGTCTTGCTGGGGCCCCAACTTCCTCCCCACCTCCACCGTCACATGTTTGAGGATTTCAAGAGCCCGGTACGACCTCATAAAAGCTTCCTGGTGCCACAAGAACACCCCCCAAACACTGGGTAAAACTTCTGAACTGGAAGCTGGACCCCTTCGCCATGCAGAGCTGAAAACAGAGGTGCAGGATGACCCTGCGATTTGGGACTAAAACCACAGGGCGCCGCCTCCACCTGCCCGGTCAGAAGGGCAGCACCCAAACCATGTCAAAGCCGCGGTTCTTCTCCAGAGATGTCCTGATTTGTTTCATTTGTGGGGAGATAATTTAGTAAAAACAAAGAGACAAAGGAAGACGTTAACTCTCGTGCTCTGCGGTGCGCTCAGTCTCAGTCCACTGGGTGCCCCACATCCACCACGCCCCAAGAGGAGAGACAGACCCTGCGGGCTCTGGCCAGACCTTTCTGAGTCTTAGTGAAAAACGCTTTGAGTTTCTTTCCTTTCACTTGATAGAGAAAACACTGTCAGATAAAAAAATTCATAACCAGAGCACGCTACAAATCAATGAGAAGACCTTCTATGTTACTGGCACCAGCCAGCACTTTAACCCAGGGGTTCAGAGTGCATGAGCGGTTGGACTCCTTGAAGGGCCTCACTCCTCATGTCCCTTCCTCAGAGCATCACCAGACCCCAAAAGGACCTGCACAGAGAGGAAGACACAACGGAGTAAAGTGACCATGTAAGGCTTCTCATCACACAACACAGATTTAAAGTTCTCTCCTAAAGCAATTTACCAGCATTTCAAAGCTGGAAAGTCATGCTTCATAACTGGTAAGGGACTGTGCATGCTTTCTTGCCAAACTACACAGCTGCTAATCAATCTATTTTCTCTGAGTAATTCCTACAAACAGAACAATGACTGTCTGTTCTGTCTCCATTTGTTGCTGTAATTTCTGGCCCAATATTGTTTTGTAAATTGGACTGCCTGAGTAAGCTATACTCTTTTTAAAAACGTTGTTTATTCACCTACAGAACGGCTTGTGAGTCAGAATACACAGGCTGTTAATGGACTCAGCGGGTAAAGAAAAGAGCCCCCAGGTGAAATCAGGGTACAGGGTGAGCACCCCCAGCGTGTGCTGTCTGTGCTGGCACCAGTTCACGGGGTGCCCTCCCGCACCCGCCTCGAGGCAGCATCGCTGTCACGCTCGTGTCAAGAGGAGGAAACAGACACTGGAAGCTCAATGACTTCCTCACGGCCATGCGCTTGAGAAGGCTCTGGAGATGGAGTTGGTGTTTCTACCTGCTTCTCCCAAAGGTGGTCCCGTCAGCCTGCGCTGATGAGGCTTCTTCACACCAGAGGTTTGGCTGGGTTAGGGGCAGACCTGGTGAGAGGGCAAGATGACGACAACTGGACCACCGTGGAACAACCCCATGGCCTGGTGCCCAAACACTTCACAACACCAAGGACGAGACAAAGATTCCCCACGTCACCAAGGAGAGGCACCCAAGACAGCGCAGGTCTTGTCCTGGGAAGCCGGATGCCAGAGGAGCAGCGCCTTTGGAATTCTGAGGGAAAGGCTCCCACCCGAGAACTGTTCTTCCTGCTATCACCCAAATGTGGATAAAGTGAAAGATTTAATGAAGGCCAAGGGTTTTTTTTTGCCTTCCATGCATTTTCTCAGGATGCTTCTGGAAGACCACTCCACCAAAATGAGAGAACAAAGACGCCGGAGCCAGGAAATGGGACGCAGGCCAGCGAGACGGTGATGGGATGCCGAGGAGCCAGGGGACCCTGAGGAGGAGGCTCAGGGGACATGGGGCTGAGACGGCGGCTGTAACTTCCAGGAGGACTGAACTGAGGGACTGGCGGTGGGGAGACTTACAAAGAGGCGGAGAGGAAGAAAACTAAGCAAACAAACACTGGGGTAATTACCAAATCCAAGTAAAACAAAAAAATGTTTAAGAAAGGAAGCATCGCCGTGGCGTCCTATTTGATTCAGTAAAAGAAGTTACAGTCATGATAAATGCTGAATAATTCCAGAACCAACACAACCACGCTGTCAGCACTGAGGGAGGAAAGGAAGAGGTTAACAGCGCTGACATCACTGCACACCTGTCCGCACACTGGCACGTGTGTGAGAAGACTCGGGATCCAGAGACTCGAGACAACCAAACGCCCACCACCAGAGGCCACTGAACACACATGGAGAAGCCGGTGGTGATCATGACGTGCGGAGACAGCACTGCCCCAGGTCTGCTGGCAGTGGACGAGGTGCCCAGAGGCAGACAGCACGCTGCTCTTGTTCCACCAGGGCCTAGGGGCCTGGGTCCCCGCTGTTATACACAGGAGCCCAGGAGCCCTCCTGATGTGAGCTGGGATGAGGACCAGGAGACTCACTGCGCGGCTGGGTGGGCTGTCTGGCTCACACCTGTACACGCGTTACACTTGTAAGAGATACAAAGTACCTTGCGAAGGAGAAAAATTAAACCCGCCTGAGTAATAACTGAAATCATAAAAAATTTAATAAAAATCCATGTCAGGGGGCCGGCCCCGTGGCTTAGTGATTAAGTGCGCACGCTCTGCTACTGGCGGCCCGGGTTCTGATCCTGGGCGCACACCAACGCACCACTTCTCCAGCCATGCTGAGGCCACGTCCCACATACAGCAACTAGAAGGATGTGCAACTATGACATACAACTATCTACTGGGGCTTTGGGGAAAAAAAAAAGGGGAGGATTGGCAATAGAGGTTAGCTCAGAGCCGGTCTTCCTCAGCAAAAAGAGGAGGATTAGCATAGATGTTAGCTCAGGGCTATCTTCCTCACCAAAAAAAAAAAAAAAAAAATTCCATGTCAGCATGAATGTAATATTCTGAACATGTTAAAGCTTGAAGAATCTGCTATGTGATTTAAATGTTTCATTAAGCAGAAGAGAGTGACCTTTGCCCTCTCAGGACAACCCAGACAGACGTCTTCAGGTTTCTCTTCCCACTCACTGCTGCTTGTGACAACGAACACTCAATGTTACGGTCTACATCCACACGTGGAAGGCTGGCTGGAAGACCCAACGTGACAGCAGTAGTGTGCTGATGAAAATACAAGGTGTCGGGCACCCCCAGGGGCAGCGTGCGGGCCTGGGGCCCTCACACCTGCAGAGCTCTCACCTGGGCCTGCCCTCACCAGGGCCCTCTCACCCGGGAACTAGACTGCCTGCCCGCACGCAGGGCTGCCCACCCTCACCTGGGAGGGCCTGCACCTGGACCCACCCTCACCTGGGCCCACCCACCCTCACCTGGGATGGCCTGCACCTGGACCCACCCGCACCTGGGCCCGCCCACCCTCACCTGGGCCCCCGGCCGTCCGCTGCACTCCTCTCGCTGGATGATGCTGACTTGAGCGTGGGCCCCATGTGGGCCCCCGGGGCCTCAGGCTCCTGGGGCTGAGGTGCCCCCTCCTGTTCCTCCTCCTCTTGCTCCTCCGGCTTCTTCTTCTCACTGTCGCTGTCATCGCTGCCTTCTCCTAGGATGTCATCCACCTGACAAAGGGCCAAGAGTCAGCATGCTTACAGATCAACTTCCTCAAGAATCCGTGTGACGTGTCCCCTCCCCCAGGCAAATGGCAACACCGCAGCAGACTGAATGCACAGACTCTGTTTCCTGTTACTAACCACACGAGACATGCTTCCCTCACAACTTCTGCACGGGCTACGTGTTTACTCCTACTTCACGCCCCCAACACTGGGGTGTGCAGTTAGACTGAGCCTTACAGACAGCACTGAGGAACATAAATGAGGCACACAGGATGGACCATGGGGAGCAGAGAAGGCCCAGGTTGTCCTTTCCTCTGTCGAGTCCTGCAACCCTGAGTGTGACCCCAGTGCAAGCCACGCAGAGAGCCTGTCAGTCACTTCCCAGCTGCATGGTCCTAACAGGGATTTTATTTCTAGCACACTAACTGATTTCATGGTGAATGATGAGGGCATTCTCTTAATAAGCTCATGATCAATGAGAGGTGTAGGACAACTGCTTTCCAGGAGGAGCCCTGGAGTCTGGGAAGGGCAGTGCTGCCGGGGGAGTCCCAGCCGCGTCTGGGGAGGCGCACTAGAGGGAAAACTAGTGTTTTCTCCAAGAGACCCCGGGCTGAAACATTTATGGACACGCCACGTGAGGGCGACGGGCACAAAAGTCGTGGGAGAGGAGGGGCAGTCCCTTGGGCCACACACTGAGGTCAACGACCAAGCACAGGGACTGAGGAAAGCAAGAAACCAGCAACAGGAGAGAGGAGGATGAAGGAAGCACAGGACAGAGGCTGATGTTTTACGTTTTTTCAATTTTGAACCACAGGAATGTAATGGCTATTTAAATGTGAAATTTAAAAACTACATTAAGTTGAGAAAGACCAGGTGTTCAGCTTATTCCAGAAAACAGAGAGGAAGGAAGGCTGTCAGAGGATGTATTTAACTCATGAGAACCTGGCCTTCTTCCGACGGAATCACCCATTTCCAACAAGGCCCCGCGTCAGGGAGGCTCCTGTGGGGTCAGAAGCCAGGACACTGCCTGCTCGAGGGCATCCCAGGAACCTCCAGCAAGAGCGGACCCGCTGCAGGCCCCTCTCACAAAGGGTCAAGTACACCCCCCACTCATCCTCTGCCTGCCCCTCAGCTGCTGACCTGTCGCTGGCCCAGGCCCGCACACCCCTCCCAGTGCACGTGTGCCCTGCACAGCTGCCTGTGGTGCTCTTGGACCCATCTCCACAGTGGGCACCCTCCACATTTCATCCTCTTTGGGGCCTGTGAGAGGACCGATGAGCTTCTCTGTGAGTGACGTGGACAAGAGAATGCAAGGACGCGGGACGTCACGAGTAAAGCATCGAAACAGGACCAGCTAGCTCTTGTAAAATCTCTGATTAAATTAAAGAGAGCACCCAGTACAGTGCAGCTTTGACCAGAAGCCATCAGTCACACCCAAAGAGCTCATGTCAATGTCAATTCCTCTAATCACTCAGTCTCCAATTTCAAACATATCAACACGTAGTTTAAGAAACAACAAGAGCACAGTAACCCTACATATGAAAATATGCAAACACTTTAACCGACAGTTAATTAAATAAAGTGGTAGCTTTAACATTAGGTCATTACAAGATTTTTAAATGTAACGTGCCTTACCGGGTTTGCTCTTAAGCTAACAGCATTTAATACAAAGCATCTAGTTAATTCTAAGAAGATATTGCATTTGTATTTCACAGGTCTATTTAATTGGCTGTACTCACTCTATTTCGAGAAGCAAACCCCTATTAGAATATTTCATTAAATTCTGCCCTGAAAATACTTAAGGCCTTTAACTCTGCATCATACCTTTTTGAGAGAAAACAAAGGATTTAAAAAATCAGTTATTTTAAATTTGATTGCCAAAGCACACAATCACAGCGGCTCAGAGATGGCGAAGTGACCTCCACGGGGGCTACTGTGGCAGCGCGTGCACCCCAACCTACATGGGCTTAATCCTTGCCTCAGCACCTAGCGCCTGGCGGGCAGCTAACAAATGTGTGTGCTCACTCTGCCAGCTGTTTGGAAGATGCAGAGAAATATTTTGTACAGCCAAACTAAAATCATGGATACTCACTAAAATCTGACCTTACCTACATTATGCTTACGTTTGCTCTCCCTCATTCTGCGTTACTCATATAAAAGTGTCTGTTTGAGAGTGACAGATACCTTTCCAGGGCTTTCTTTTATAAAAAGTAACTTTGCACTTCCTGAAACAGAATAATCTGGAATGAACTATTTACTTTATAAATATTATTTAAAAGACTCTAAGGTAAATATTTGAAAATCATGCGAAGAGAAAAATAAAATTCATCTTATACTGAATTAACTACTGAAATCTCTCAAATTAAGGGCAAATGTGGATAACATCAAATGCTACTGGAAAGGTTCCTGTCAATGTACCGGGAAGATGCAGGATCATGAACAACACTACCACTCATCACAGCCCGAGCTATGGAATGAGCCTGGCAGCAGAGGGAGCAGAGCAGCTGTAGGACTGCCCACCTGGCTGTCCTGTCGGGTCCAGGGACACAACACACAGGCCTCAGGCCTCACTCCAGCCCTGCGGCGGGCACTTTCCTCTTCCCACCCTTCTGCTCTTTTATAAGAACCTGTGAAGAGAGGACTCTGACCCATCTGGGCCTTGCAGAAATGAATATATTGTAAGAGCTGGTTGAGATCAGAGATGGAGAAACTGAACCTCGGTCACGCCGGAAGAATCATGAGTCGGATGAAGAGCGATGGATGTGCAGAAACACCTATGAGCCAATTATTCTAAATGACTGAATGCAGCACCTCCTTTAAAAAGGCCACCACTCAAATGATTGACGACAAGAATTCTAATCTCTAGCTGAAAAAAATAAATTTCTATTAAGCCTGAAATGATGCCACCTAAAAGGTATTTGGAACCAACGTAAATGTATGTGTCTCCTTGGCCAGAGAACAAACATCTCAGCCATCCTCTTCAATGTGCCACATTCTCTTGTAATGGAACCGACAGCGTTTACAGACACAGTAAACTTTCTGCACTGAAGTTAACCACGGTGTGGTCTGCCTAAGTTCATCTAAGGCTTTCAAATCCAAGCAGACAATGCCAAGCAAGGTCTGCTCTTCATGCAGCCGCAGCAGGCCTGGAAGCTGGCAATGGAGAAATCGCTCCCCTCCCGTTCCCTGGAGCCCCGAGCTTCCTGTCGGGAACAGTCTTGGTGCCTGGTTTCAGTGAAGCTGCTTGCTCTCGACGATTCCTTCACCCTGGACAATGGGGGCTGCGGTACTGATGACTGCAGACTGGCAGAGCCTACAGGACAGGCACTCTGAGAAATGAGACGTAAATTATGACAGGCCTCCCTATTTCACTACCATCACCTTAACGTGTGATTTTCACATATTATCTTCAATCTCAATTTTTTTTCTAAAGGCCAACATGTGTTAATTATCTCAAGGTATCTGGAAGGTCATGACAGCAGTTGCAGAACTACCTGCCTCCTAAAATGCAACACAATACCGTGTTAAGACACAGAATTCTCTAACATTGATTTTTTTGTGAGGCATAATTTTAGGAAGCCTGCTTAACCACATAAATCCCTAAATCTCATAATTCTATTAGTGGGTCCATGAGCGCCTGCCCCACACAGCAGTGTGTAAAAGGAAGAACCACTTGGCAAGTCACCGTGGCATCCCTGCCCAGTCTGGGTGTCGATTACAATCCTAGGAGAAAGCTAACGTGGACCCCGAGGCTGCTCAGGCTACGCAAACGTACACGGGATCACGGTGAGCCTAGCCATAAAAAGGCTGGAGGTAACACATGAAAAAAAATACTCAGGATGCCACGAAAACAGTTAACCTTGGCAAATACTTACCGCTTGTACATACGGCACAGAAACACCTCGTATTAAAGACTCGTGTGATCCAGCCTCAAATTAACTCTCAGATACCTTCCAGTCGCTCCTCTGCGCAGTCGCACGCCCATGAAAATGGAGCCTTGCCTCCACACCCGCAGCTGTGACTGAGTCTGCACTCCTCTGGCTTACGTGGCATACTTCCTCTCCAAACATGCGAAAAAGGAGTTCCACCATGCCTCAGGGCCTCCTCAGGTGCGGCCTTGTCTACACAGTCTGCTCTGATCCCAGTGGCAAAGGGGACCAGGAGGAGTGAGAGAGCACATACAACGTGACTCTGCTCTGACAAAATTCCAAAACTGACCAAACCAGCCTGTAGCATCAGAAGGCAGTAAATATATGCCTTTTATCAAATTCTGGAGGTCTTCAGTTGTTATGTCTCCAAGTACTTTTTCCGCACCAACCTCTCTCCCCTCTCTTCTGGGGCTCCAGTGGCACAAAGGTCAGACTTCTGATATCGACTCACATGTCCTGGAGGCTGATCATTTCCCCTCAGTGCTTTCCTGCTGTTCTTCATGGTAATTTCTGTAACTCTTCAACGAGTTTTTGCTCGCCACCTCCATCCTACTGGGGGTCCTTCTGGCGAATTTCAGTGAATTTGCTTGATTGAGTGTATTTTTCAGTTCTAAAATTTCCACTTGATTCTTCTTCATAGTTTCCACTCACTCCAGGGCTGTTTACCTCTCCCCATGGAGCACAGCCAGGGAGCTGGCCTGATAATCCCACTGTCTGGGCTGTCCCCAGCTGCATCTGCTGTCATTCTCTTGGGTATCTGCCAGTTTCCTGTTTTCTGTATTCCAGTAACTTCTGGATTGTGCCCCGGACATCTCGACTATTACATCCTGTTAGAGCCTCTGCAGAACACCAGTTCGTGTTTCAGCAGGCGCCCCAGCTGGTTAGGTTAAGATGGAGAGTTCTGTCCTACCTTGTGTGGACTGTGATGTGAGTTTTACACATTTGCCATGCTGTCTGTCCCACGCCCTCAGGTTTCCATCACAGGTCAGGTCTGACGGCCTCTGACTTGCTTCTTTGGGTCTGTTCCATATCTGTGCTGTCAGGGGTGAGCCCAGGGTGTGGGTTGGCTTGTATGCA